AAAAAGAGTCATCCAAGGGATAAACCTGCAGATACTCGGCACAAAAACATACAAAGTTACTGCTTAAAGCAACATTGTGTGCTGTATTTTTGAACTCAAGAAAAACTTCATCAAATCACAATATTCCTGTAAAGTCATGATACGGGGAGTGTGTGCTTTATGATGCTTATACATTCTGGGTAAGCTGCAGGATTATAACTTTTCCACCTATACTGCATAAGGTGAAAAAGGGTATTAAAATTTTTTGGCATATTTTAAAGCAACCCTAATTCGACAATGATATTTGTTCCTTAAATACACTTATCTCCTGAGGCCGTCAGAAGATTGTTTGTATTCTACTTTTTTTTTGTGTTTTTTTTGATTGTTGTTGCTCTAACTCTCAAGTCCAGCGTTACACTGTCAGCTTGGCGACATGAGACAATAAAGTCAGAGCGGCTCTGGGATCTGTAATGAGTCGACATGGCTCTGCAGTGGGCTAATTGTTAGAAGTCCAACATTCAATTAGCATCCTTGACATTGCCAATAATCTCTCTTTCATTGGAGTCTCCGCTAAAGGAGCACACTAATTAAAAGCGTTGCTTGAAATAATCGAAGCGTTAAAGAGAAGAGCGACTTTGATTCCACTCCTGCGTGGACACAAAAATAGGTGTGTGTGTGTGTGTGTGTGTGTGTGTGTGTGTGTGTTTTAGGGGGTCGGATTGTAGTTTTGAAACACTTAATTATACAATAGCCCGTATCCATAACTTATTCAAGGGTGAAGCAAGAAGTAGCTGTTTATATCCCTGAGTTCTTTTCATTTACTGTATCACACCGGCCAATTTTAGCGTTATAATACTCAAGAATCAATTATAATATCGCCGCAATGCAACGCCGAGTTTAGCAACATGCATATACATCGTTATGGCGATAAACAATGCAACAATTGAACTTGGAAACAATAGCACAGTCTGACACAAGCCTGAATATTCATGAGATGCGTCTCCTCTGAGTGTCAACAACTCCTCCATCCAGACTGCTGCAGCAAAAGAGGGGGAAACTGTTTCAGGCTGCAGGGTCACTTTCAAATGTCAGCTGTAGGGAAAAAAATAAAAATAAACTATTTCTAACGACTGAGAGAGATGCAAGAAGTGACGGAAAGGAGGAAGAACAGCGAGAAAAGTTTTGAAGACTGCCTCATCCGGCCTCCACTACAACACTTTTATCATCTTTATCAGAATAAATGCGCCTGATGGAAAAGCACCAGTCAATTTAGGAAAATAACGGTGCCGCAACAGATGACAACAAAATAAAAGTTCAGCTTCCTGTGAACTGCCAGTAAACATTATGTGTAAGGAAGTGGGGCCCTTACAGCCGAATGATTCAAACACAAAGAATCCCTGTCACTTTACATTTCCAGTCTAAACAAAGCACATACTTGGCCCCTAATCAATGCTCACTGATACATCCAATATCAACTGACTCACAATGGCCGCATCCCGACTGTTATTGTAACCTTGGAGCCTCGTGTCTTCAAAGTGCACAAGTCACGAGGAGGATTAGACATCCGGCCTCCACAATACTTCATACATACAATGAGTTTTTAATCAAGACCAAAGCAGTTCTAAGGAGCATATGGGACCAACAGACGCCGCATTAATCCCTCTGGTTTTTGTCTAACAGCGGGCTGCACAGCGGTCCTTGTCCCCTGGTCTGGGTGCTGTCCGGTTGGTCATCCTCCGCCACCATCGGCCTGTTCAAAAAAAAAAAAAAAAAAGCTGCAAAGTGCTTAAGGCCGCAGCGCCTACAGGGGTTGTTCAGTGAATATGTGCTCCGATCATTATGAAAAGGATGTGGATCTTATTTAGAAATCACAAAGAAAGTCACCAGCCTGTCAGTTAGGGTGTGGACATTATTAAAGTCCTCAAGGTTTTCCCTGCTGAAGTCTGCAGGTGTTTTTTTCCATCAAAACCAAGAAATCCAAGTCTAACTGCAACCTGCTTCTGCTGTTGAACTCGCTGGAACTTCCCATGAATATAATAGGTAAGTATTGGTGGTGAAAAGGCAAATACAACTAGTTTATTACTGGGTTGGGACAGAAAGACGGAAAAACGGAGAGTGATTATACAAACTGCCCAGGAATGTGGGACAAAATAAAAAAGAATTCATGGCTCTCAATTAAAAATGACCACATTGGTTTTGGATACTTGTTTGACAGGCTGCTTAATATATACAGTATATGCATGTGTATCTATTGCTAGACATTGTAATAAAAATGAGAAATAAAAGCAAAATAATATAATGATGTGGGAAAATGTGGCAACTAATAAAAAAAAAAAACAACAAAAATAAATAATATTTTTTAAGCTAATCCAGCAGTATCCCCTTGAAAGTGCTTATCCAGGCTTAGTCGACATTTTTCTGAAATTATTTAAGTTTGTGACATCATCAATGAATTTGATAATCTTGTCAAAGATTAAATTAAAAGGGTTTTGTATAGCCTACATAATAACAGATTTAGATGTTTTAAAAAATGAAGTCTAAAGAGATTTGAAGTAAGCGCAGTAAAAAGCATGTTATTTTAATTTCTCAGACTGCTCACACAAATCCATGGATTTACAGAGATCCAAAACTGATAATGATACTAGCAGCTTGACTAGCTGGAGGTCTGATGAAGCAAAAGGGCCACACATTCTTTTCAGCACAAGCAAGCCTCGCAGAACCAGTGAGATAACCTCAAAAATACTCAAAACATCTCACGGTTTCCCTCACAACCTGCAGAGATTTATTTATTACCTACTGTAGAAAAACAACACGAAAAGCAGATTCTCGCAACTGTAGGGACTTTATTCCTTTCTTTTGCCCATATAAGTGCTCTTTTAAAGAACTCTCACCAAATATGCCTAAACATTTGGCTTATGATGTTCATAAGCCCCACAGGACACAGAGGGCTTATCAGTTCATTAGCCACTTGATGGCCTATTTCAAGTTATAGTAAGTGGGAGGAGGGCGATGGATGAGGATACAACCATCCATTACTGAGGCATATTTTGTTAAGCTATTCAGGGGCGCAGAAAAAAAAACCCTCAAACCCATAAGAAGATTACCAGATCTCAGCATATGTTAAAAAACACATTATTACTATGCTTATGGGTCAAGTTAATACCTAGTTAGTTAAAGCTCACCTAACAAGAGGCTGTCCATTTAAAAGGACATTTTTGCTTAAGAATTTGGGTTTTATTATGTCAGTTTAGGACAAATTATTCAGTGCAGATCAACTTTTTTTGCACACATTAAAACAAAAATAACAGATGTAGTCAGTAAATGTGTCTTTTATAGCCACGTTGCTCTCAGTAACAGTACATTCAAATGTAAAATTTAGAGGTAATGTACTTTAAGCTTATATGTCTATCAAATTCCTTGGATTAAATATTCCCCGACCATTAATAAAAATCTCCTTTTCAGACAAATGGAAATATTTTCATAGTGGATTATACGTCATCCTAATGGTGATGTCCATGCACACACACAGCGGGATGGTAAAGAGTAAAGTATAATCGCCCCTAACTGATGACTAATGGTCATTAATAATGCTGAAGTCCATGAGCTCAAACAGACAATTTGGCCACTCAGTAATAAACTGAACCATATTAAAAGCTTAAACACAAAGGAAAGTGCTCATTATTGTTATGTTGGTTGCTGTCATACATGTGGCAAGTAAAGCCAGCGTTTGAGGAAATATTTCTGCCATAAGTGGTCAAAAGTGCAGTCATTCCCCAGACCTATAATGAAGATGTCATTTCTGTAATGCAAATATGCAGAGAAAGAAACTGCTGAAAATAATTTTACAACTCAAAATATGCTTCAGTGTTGACAAAGAAATCCTCAACAAAAGTTCCAAATTACTTTTGGTTTCTGAACATTTCAACCACATTTCATGGCCTCCCTTAGTGGATGTTGTTGTTCAGTTGTCATGTTAGTC